TACCAGGTCTATTGGGCTACAGAGGTCATATCCAAACTTTCCAAACAGTGCACTCAAGCACTTTTTCCATTAGTACCGACTCAGATTGGCTCGACATGACCTGATGTGGTATGACTTACCGCCGCTCGATGGTGGCACTCGTTTTTTCCAGCAAAATCGAATGTCACCATCTTATAGCAACATGGCCAAAATTCTACCACATCACTTGAATGCAACACAAAGGGCACAAGAAAGGTGGACATTGATGGACATTGTTAAACCTATTACCTAGTCTGTGACTCGGGGAACACAGTGTCGCTTCTGTGCAGCTATTTCCCACCTTGCTCTTCATGGTGACAAGGTCATAGCTTTTCCATTGGTCAGTGGTAAGGGGAATATAGGCCAAGTATGCCCACCCAAGTCATTCCGCCTGGTCCTGTTCCAAGGAGGCATAGGAGCATTGTGACGGTCCCTTCTGGACAGTGCAAGCAGAGAACACAGTCCTCTAAGTCTTGGCAAAACTTTAGCCACTAGAACTTGAACCAAAGTCTTGATGACTCTGAAGTGACATGTCCTTACCGAACCATAAACTAGCTGTTCGATCTCTTTCTTTCTCTCTCTCGTCACTGACACCCCGAAAACTTTCACCTCTCCCTAATCTAACAAATGCCACATGTCCAAAGAAGGATCTCTTCTTTCAGAGTGCAGAGACAGACATGGTATGTATCCCCAGTGTCACTGTTACTTGCCAGAGGTAATGGCACTTTAGGCATTCTTGTGGCATAATGTGGCACTTTCACGACACCTTGTCAGGAAGATTCTGACAGTGGGTTTAGAGAAAAGTTTTACTGTCCCTCATAGTTGCCATAGGTGGGGATGTGCTGCTCTCTGAAACTGCTGTCACCAGGGGTGAGCTGGTTGCCTGTGACCACGGAGAGTGGTGGATTCTCCAACCAATAGGTGGGGGTGTGTCAGGTCCCCTGGACGACCTGTTCTTGGTGGTAGGTCTGTACTCTTGTTTATTTAAGTGCCATTAATGGCTTGTCGATGGGTGTTAAGTTCCTTATTACTCTCAAATCTTCTTTTAAAATGGATACCAACTCCATATCCCACTGATGACACCAATGTAACGAGCTGAGGAGTCACACAGTGTAGAATGTACAATGAAACACTAGAGCTTCAGTTTGTGCTTGTTTCCTCCACAAAAACAATTGTAAGTGAAGAAACAAAGCAACATTGGTAGAAAAAACTAAAAGAGTGGCATAACCATAAAACATACAGTAAACACGAGTTCCTTAAAATCAAGATAAACAGAATTTAAATTTTAAATTAAACTGAAAATTAAATTGAAAGGTGAACAATCCAGAATAATCCAAAAACAAAATCAAGAAGTCCAGAAAACCCTGAACTGAGGAAGGGTGAACAGAATCCAAAATACTAAAAACCCTGCAAGCCTGAGTATCTCAGGAGGCCAGTGATGGAGATTAAGCTACTGAGGTGGATAGCCAGGAGGCCAACAGTATAGATTGAGAAACTATGAGGGCTGGCCATCTGATTAGCAGCAGAAACAGCTTGTCTACAGAGCCAGAGTCTTTAAAAGTTTTATTCACATTTAGTGGAATCTAATGCTTTAGAAAATAAAGATCTTTATTTTCTAAAGCATTAGATTCTAGATCAAAACTGATCAAAACTGAAGTCGACTTCAGTTTGGTAAAGCAATTCACATTTGTGTACATTTCTCGATAGTGTTACAGAAGAAACGCCCCGAAGCTAAACCTATCAAGTGCAGAATGTTTTTTTGTTTTTTGTTGATGGAATCAAAAGTTTTGTAGAAATCTGAAAAAATCAAATGAGAAGTAAATAATCAATAAGGTCTAATACTCTTTTTAGATGATCAGAAATATTCAAATTCCTGTGTTTGTGCCTCATCAGTTACGAAAGCTAAAGCTACCTTAATTGTATGAGCAAATATTTGGGTAGAAACTTTCTAGTCCTTATTAAGAAGTGAGACAGGACGTCAATCAGGAAAGTGTTTGAGGGCTTCATTTTTATATATTTACATTGTTGTACAGTGAAACAATTTTAAAGTCCTTTGGTCTCTAGTATGGAGCTGATTGTTTATGGATGAGAGCGGTTACGGAGTTCATTCAAGAAACACTCAGAGCTGTTTTAGTTTTCACCTCTTTTCTTATGACTCACTTTTTGATCGTATAGCTCAGCGAACCTGACGTCACTCAAATGCGACTATCTTAAGAGAATTGAACGCAAGTGTGAAGTTGAAACGATCGGCTGAAGCTCAAATATTCTTTGTCTTGCTTAAACTTTAAATTGAATCTCCCGTAGTTACTTTTTAAAAGTCATAGTCTGTTTTTCGCTGAAAACACCACCAGACTAGCACGTTTAGAACAAACTTGATGTCCAATCATCAGAAAGAAGAACACGGAAATGTCTGCTGTAACTGCGTCAGTCTGCTCCACTTTGCTGTTTTTTGGCATCTTCGTGTTTGTCTCGGCAGGTGAGGTTAATAAACCAAAATTTTCCCTCTGAGGTAAAACGGGAAAAATGGTATCTTGGTCGTTTACGTGGTGCCAATACTTCACAAATAATTTGTTTCATGTCGATTCCATTTGTTTGTGTCCGTGAATGCATCACGAGGCTGGGTGGAGTCTTGTTTTATCGTAGAGTTAGCATGTTTGCTATCTGTGCCACTTTGGGGACTGTCCTTCTGACTAAAGTGAGATCTGTGGTTGAAATGGTAAATGGTAAATGGACTGATTCTTATATAGCGCTTTTCTACTCTCTCGGAGTACTCAAAGCGCTCAAATGATGACAGTGCACAGATTCTGTGCTTTATTCGGTCTGTGGCGTCTGTTGCTCATGTTGTTGTTGGTCTGTCAGTCAGCCGGGAGCAGAGCGAAGTGCTAACATACCAAAAGCTCCCGAGTGTTAAAAAACAAAGACAAGTATCGCTACAGTCACTGTCTGTGCTTTTCGTGCTTTAGTTTTTGATCTTTGAAGTTTTTTAGCTTCTCTTGTTCTTTGTAAACTCTGCTATCACTTCCTGCTCCTTTTC